AAATCATATATGGAACTTATCACTTGTGTCTTTAGCTGACACCACCCTGTTAAAACATGCATGTTCCTACCATTGTTTAGTTTACAAGTCATCATTGTATTATCTAATTTGTTCTGAGTCTTCAGAATGGGAACACTACCTCTCTAAGTATGCTAATAATATATATGTAACTTGCATTAAAAATTGGAGAAAATTTTAAGTATTATTCACACTCTGTGTAAGCTATATGTGACATCCCCGCATTTGGATACAAAGACATATGTAGCACAGACCTTCCTGTAGAGCCCTTAAAACACAAGCTCCAAGCCCTCCAACAAAAAATGTATTTCAAGGAGAAATCTAGCAAAATCTTTGCTTCCTAGAAATAGTAATGAGACCATAGCACTAAAAGGAAAAAAACCATTAAAAAAACCCTATGGCATGACAATTCTGAGTACATTCTGTACCTAAGAAAAAAAGGAAATGTGTTTCAACAGAACATATTTGCTATGATCATATTGTTATCTCTTCATCCTCATATAGATGGACTTTTCTCTTTTAATTTTACTCTGTAAATCTGGGTTTTGCACTCTCAAACTCTTAATGAGTAATTTTAACCTTCTGTCCCCTCCTTTCTGTTTTGTTCTAACTTTGGGAAGGAAGGAAGGAAAGAGGGAGGGAGGGAGGAAGAGGTGGAAAGAAGGCAAATAGATGGAGGAAGGAAGGGGAGAGGTGGAAATAAAGCAAATAGATGGGGAGAGAGGAGTGGGAGGGAGGGAAGAAGGAAGGGAAGAGGTGGAAAGAAGGCAAATAGATGGGGAGAGAGGAAAGAAAGAAAGAATCAGAGACCCTGGTCTCTCTTTCCATCCTTTTACAACAACCCAGGCAGATAAGCATGCCTGCCTCCTCAGCCAAAGAATGAGAGACCCGGGTCTCCTTTTCCACCCCCCTTTTAAAAAGAAAATAACAATGCCAAAGACCTCATGCAATAACATGGCGAGGGTAGATGAAGAAATAGAGCCTTCTGGTCTTTCTTTCTAGCCCAAGCACATAGCTGGGGGAGGCGGGGGGGAGGCAGTGGTGGGGATGATAAGGGTGAGCTGGAGCCGGGTGCCTTGCCTGCAGCCCACTCAGTTCACACCATGGAAGCCTGAGATCACAGGGCAGAAGACAAACTGGGACTCGGGGCAACCTCCCTTTACTCCCTCCTTATGTGAAAGGGGCCAATTGGGACCCGGAGCAACATCCCTGTCCTTCCTCCTTCAAGTTCCCTCCCCCTGAGGCCCAATGGAACTTATCAGCTGCTGGTTTCTCTAACCGATCGCAGCCTCTGCCACTGGCCTTGCCAGGATCCCCACATGGCTCCTACCGCTAGCATGCCGGTTCTGCTGCACTGAGCCTTGCCTTGCCGATCTCCTATGGCCTGAACCCCCTGGCTGGCTAGTGAATGCAGCGGCGGTGCCTCTCTCGTCCGCACGACTCTTCCTGATTTCCCTGGCTTGCTCCAATGGCTCTGTGTGCTCAACCAGCTAACTCACTGAAGCTGCTGCATGTTGCCTCCTGCTACCAGTGGACCTGGCTGCTGGACAACGATGCAGATTCAGCGACCTAAGAGCCTGGCACCTGATGATCAATTACCAAAATCCCTTTTTGGCCTTCATGCGGCTGCAGGAGACGGCCAAAAGAGTGCTTGCCAATGCACAGAGGGACAGAGAAGGAAGCCCAAGTGATCCCACACAGACAGGTGAACTGGTCAGGCAGCATGGCGTGCTTTCCCCTTGGTGGGCTCTCCACTTCCCCCTCCCCTGGGCCCAGTTCAGGCCCTATCATAGGCTGGCCCACCAGAGAGGGGGAGGGCCAGGTTTTCCTGCTGTTGCGGCCACCCAGCCAACAAGCTGTCATAGCTGCTGTTGCCCTGCTGGCTCTCCCTGTGGTGTGGGATGACAAACAGGACCCTCCAGTGAGTCGGGGAGGGGCATATCTCAACAGGAAGAGGGCTTGTTCATGATCCCACACTCAGGCAAAAAGCTGTGTGCTAAGGGCCAGAAATAGGTGCACCCAGTGCACGTAGTGCATCTTAGAGGGAACCCTGATTACAAGGTTGTTTTTATCAACACTAATACCTGGAAAACTGGAAGGTGCATTGAGGTATTTAGAGAAAACACTTCTCCCACAATCTTGAGTACAAGCAAATAATCTCTTCACAACCAAAATGGGGAGTAAAGTTTTCTGCCCAAACCTAGTTTCAGCTTCATAATTTCAGCAGAATTCATCTGATGCTACACTTCTCTAAGCATGTCCTATCTGAGCCATATCTATCTTTAGATCAGACTTTTAGTAATAGTATTAAAGACTATTCAGTATCTTTATAATCCTTACAACAGTCATACTCAGTGGTTTGGGAGCCACATGTGGCTCTTCTGATCACCCTTCCCCATTGTGGCACCCACTCAATGTTCCAGGAAAGTAGGCAAAGCCATTGTTTGGTGGGGTTTATGGTTGGCAGGTGGCATTTCCCACTTTGAAATGCTAGAGTGACTGGAGGACAGGCAAGTGTCTAACTTACCATTCCTGGGTAAGGTGGTAGAGAAGGCAGTGGCAACACAACTTTGGGCTTTCTTGGATGAGTCTAAGGTCCTAGACCCCTTCCAGTCCAGCTTTCACCCTGCCCATGTGATGGAGACAGTGCTGGTCACCCTGGTGGATGATCTCCAGAGACATCTGGATCGAGGTGAATCAGCACTGCTGATTCTTCTTGATCTATCAGCAGCGTTTGATATGGTTGACCATGAGGTGTTAACCCACTGCCTCACCGATGCCGGGATACGGGGGCTTGCCTTGCAGTGGCTGACGTCCTTTCTCCAGCGTAGGGGACAGAGGGTGGCACTTAGGGGGGAGTTATCCCAGTGGCACCCACTGGAATGTGGTGTGCCACAGGGAGCGATTCTCTCCCCCATGTTGTTTAATATTTATATGTGCGCCCCTCACCCAAATTATCCGGAAGTATGGGCTGGGTTGTAACCAGTATGCGGATGATACCCAGCTCTATCTAGAAGAAAAAGAAGAAGAGAAGAGATTGGATTTATACCCCGCCCTTCACTTGGAGTCTCAGAGCGGCTTACAAACTCCTTTCCCTTCCTCTCCCCACAACAGACACCCTGTGAGGTGGGTGGGGCTGAGAGAACTCTGACACAAACAGCTCTTTCAGGAACAGCTGTGCCAGTGCTTGTGACTCACCCAAGGTCACATCAGTAGGTGCAAGTGGAGGAGTGGGGAATCAAACCTGGTTCTCCCAGATTAGAGTCGCACACTTAATGGATGGTCACCTGGGCACGGCCCCAGGAGATCTGAATGAGACATTACAAGCTGTGGCTGGTTGGCTGCAACAGAGTCAACTGAAGTTAAATCTATCTAAGATGGAGGTCCTGTACCTGAGTTGCAGGGGATTGAGTCAGGGAATCAGGCTCCTAACTCTCAATGGGGCTCCATTGGTGTCAGTGTCAAGGGTGAAGAGTCTGGGGGTGTTCCTGAATTGCCTCCCTTTCTGTGGAGACCCAGGTCACCACCACTTCCAGGTCTGCCTTTTTCTATCTGAGACAGATCAGGCAGTTGGCCCTGTACCTCACCCCCTGGGACCTAGCTACAGTGACCCATGCAATGGTCATTTCTAGACTGGACTATTGTAACACTCTCTACGAGGGGCTGCCCTTGACTCTGCTCCAGAAGTTGCAGCTAGTGCAGAACATGGCAGCACGGGTGTTGACGGCAATGCCTGTGCGGGTTCACATCCACCCAGTGCTGTGTGAACTGCATTGACTGCCTATTGAATACCTGATCTGTTTCAAGGTGCTGGTACTTACCTTTAAAGCCCTATATGGCCAGGGGCCAGCATACGTTCGGGCCTGCCTCTCCCTATATGAGCCCCATAGAGCACTGAGGTCTACTAATCAACATCTTTTGGTAGTCCCCAGCCCCAGGGATGTCCGACTAGCCTCAACCAGGGCCAGGGCCTTTTTAGCCCTGGCCCCCACCTTGTGGAATGAGCTCCCATATGGGATCAGGGCCCTGCGGGAGCTATTACAATTCTGCAGGGCCTGCAAGGCAGAGCTCTTCCACCGGGCTTTTGGTTGAGGCGGCAGATGGCCCTCCACCCTCCTGCTCAATCTCCCACCAGTGGCCTGGATCCAAATGGACATTGGGGTACCCACTGTTGTATTTTAATCAATCTATCTGACATCTGATCTAATTTATTTCACATGGTATGTTATGATTCTATTCTGTTTTAAATTGTTATTTTAAAGTTGTTTTGTATTATATTAAGATTGATATAAACCGCCCTGGGCCTCCTTGTGGGGAGGGTGGTATATAAATCAAATAAATAAATAAATAAGCTGCAAGCCTCCGTAAGCTTCAGACCTCATTCCAGGGATGCAAGTAAAATGCTCGTCCTCTCCAACAACCCTCCCCCTTCACACACACACCCTTCTCTGCTGCCTCTGCACTGTCATTCCAGCACTAACGTGGCTGTCAGGAGGAGAGCAAGCTGATGGCAGAGAAGAGAAAGTAAAGCCACCAACATGGCAGCCACCCAGGAAAAGAACAAGCTGGCCACAGTTGGGAGGGATGGTGGTGGTGGTGGTTTTACTCCCCTTTCTCCATGGCCAGGTTGCTCCTCTGGGAGCCTTGGCAGTCTCACTCTTGCCTAAGTTGCTGTGCTTCAGGCTGGGGAGAGAGTGAGAAGGTAGAGAGGGAAGCCCTTCCCCTCACTTCAGATAACACAAGGGTTGGCTCAACATTAATGAGGGGATGGCCAACCCTACACGCTCAGAGGTACTCTAGGATTCAAAAGGTTATCGTTTCATTTTTATTAACAGTTACACCTTACACTATTGTATGTGTGTGTTTGGTGAGGTGGCACACAGCAGTCTTATGGCCCAGTTGGTTGATGCTAAATTCTAACTTTGCTCTCTGATATCTATTTTCATAGATTAACAAACTTTAATTCCCTTATATTTATTCAGGGGCTCAAACCAATGGTACCCGTTGAATCAGCACCTCTGATTTTTGCAGCACCAACCAAACTTGCCTCCGATGCGTCATCAGCTGTTGGGTATTTTCGTAAAAACAGGGTTCCAGAACTGCAAAAGTTTTTTCAGGTGAGAAGAAACATTTTCTTTTACTGAAGGTATAATTAATTTTCTTAGAATTGTGTCCCTGACAAGCCAGTAATAGGGACAGTGAATGTGTACTATACTCAGTCTCTTGTGCAGCAGTGTTTGCCCTTGATGTTTGTTGAAGTATAGATTAAATTCTTTTACTATCAAGTTCCTGTGTATGTTAGTCTATAGTTCTGCTTTAAGAAAATTTGAAGCACATTGGATTCCATCAGATTTATGTAGTCTAATTACATTTGGATTAGAGCTATTACCCTTAGCATGAATTTACCACCTCTCCTTTCCCCTTGCTAAATCTTGTATGATAGTTTCCATATCTCTAGTCTTCGAAGCCTTACCCAGACACAAATGTCCTGTATCTAAGGCTGTGCGCCACTCATGACTACAGTGTTGCAGTTCTTGGAATTCTGCCCTTGATACCAGTTTCTGGACTTTGCCAAAACACACACACACAAACACACACTCAAAACAGCCCCAAGAAACACAGGGCCTACTAATAAAACAGCAGAAAGTCCACATTGAAGGTGAGCAGATTAATTGTTGGCATAACCTTTCAAATCTAATTTGTTACGGGCATGAGAAGTTTATCCATAGTTGTCAGATACAATTAATTGTTGGGAGAGAAAGGGAAGGATTTGCTAAAGTTAGGCTAGAAGCCCCCTATATTGCAAGACAAATTATGCATTACTGTGCACTGCATGTGTGCATCTGCAAGCAGATAACATGTCATACATCTCCCTTATATATAAAAGCCGAATGGTGGTGGCACTTCTCTAGAACATTCCACACACTCTGGAATTGGTTGGCGCCCTGGTGTGTCACTCAGAATCTGTCCCTATCCACTGGCTGCATTGCTTGAGTCTTGCCTCCAACATTCTAAACAGTTTGCTGTCCCCCCCCTCCCATAGCCGAATGCACATCCCTAATCTCTTATTGTTGTCTCTAGTTTGACTTTTAGAAAAAGTGTCTTTCCCTTTTCATTCAGGAATATTATGGAAGCCACTTTGGGTCCATACTGTGGAGAAAGATGGGGTATAAATGAAACAAATTCAACTTCGACTATTGGGTTGTTGCATATTAGCTTTTATTTGTTTCCATTTAACCTTTTGAGGCTCTCAAGTTCACCTGTAGTAGTAGGGATGGTAACATGCATATGTTGACTCATATTTCCTTTTTTTGTTTGTTTCTTACAGAAACCTGATGGTCTACCAGTACATCTGAAGCGTGGAGTTCCTGACCAACTCCTTTACCGGACCACAATGGCACTGGCAGTAGGAGGGACCATTTATTGTCTGATAGCACTCTACATGGCTTCACAACCACAAAAACAGAAGTGAATGATCCCAGTTGAATGGGGATAGATAGGAACGCTGTGGCAAGAAGACTTACCTTTAACTCCCTACCATTACAATATGATTGTTGCAGATTCTTGAGAATTCAGTTTGACATTAAGAGAAGTGATTAGGGAATGGTTATTTTCTTATGTTTAGTATTATAAGGATAAACTTAATACTGGATGATTCAGTTTTGGAGATTACTCTTCACACCCTTCACTAACCCAGACCTGAAGTGAACTGCCTGTGTATACTCCTAGCAGCAAGGTCCTATTTAAGTTTGGTGGCAGAAGCTGGAAAGGAAGCTGTGTTTACCCATGCCTTACCACCACCTGCCCTGGGAGGAGAGCATAAAGAGATGCTAAAAATATATTTGATCTGTGGGAGTTTGAAAACGATAGACTTAAGTACCAATTTGCTCCAGTATGGCAAATTTATCATGTTTTTCTTAACAATTTGAATTGGGTTCTATTCGAACTCAGTTGAACGCCTCATTACTTAAATGTATACTTCTTATTGAGTAATATTTGGCAAAGGGCCATAGTGCCCCAGCAAGCTTGCAACCATTCTGTTCTGAAGGACTCTCTCCTTTAATGGTCCCACCTTTGTGAGCCTATCCCTTGGGAGTGGCGCTGCACTTGAAATGGGTTATGTTATAGTAACACAATTTCATCATGTGATCCCCCCCAGATCTTTCTCTAAAGTAAAGTTCTATTTGTTTAGTGTTGGAATAAATACAGCAATATGAATACTGGATCCCTTAATATGTTTTTTGCTGCAGTGGTTTAACATGGAATGGGGTTGAAAACATTGTTACACTTTCAATTTTCAGCAGAGACACACAAAACGAGTGACTACTTGAACATAGTAGGTGACTGTTGCCCAGACTTTTGACAGCTGAAACACAGTGACTTTCTGTATTAAAATTGGAGGCAATCTTCAGTTGCACGCACCAAACATTTATTTTTAGAGTAAGTAGGTGTGATCAGCTCTCAGATGAGTCAACTTCTGTTGATTCTGCAGGTGTCACTGATCTGGGCAACTGAGCAACAGCAGCTCATAGAGGTATGATGGGCACCCTTTGAAAGTAGGTGATTCTGCTTAGCTTCAGTCTTGGTCGTGATTAACTAGGCTGCACACAGGAAGGTGTTCGGTTTGTTTTTTGTTTTTTTTAGAGAGTTGCCCTGAGCTTTGGCCCTTCCCATTACACCTGATGTACAATAGCAGAACAACTTTCTCTGTTCTGAGAGATTCATTAGAATGAAATTAAGCCAGAGCTGTTGATCATGTAAAGGCAAAGCAAACAGCCTCTTTGGATTAATATTTGGGGCTCATACATAGTTGCCTTATTTATTTCCCATAGTACATCAGTATGTTCCCATATGGAGTTTAGGAGTTACTGAAGTATCATTCGTAACACGTTTGCAGTTGAACATATACTTTTCTTACTCAAAATAACCCTCTTGTGTATCAGTAGTGGCCTTTGCCGTGAAATGACAATTAACAGTTACAGCTTTTTAGCTATCCATCTGGAATTATCATCTGTGTTTCTGTAGCAGAAAAATGAAATGAGTTCAGTGGCACCTTAAAGTATTTCAGTAGATGCTTTTTTGAGCCAAGAGCTCATTCATCGGATGCCTGAATGAAGTGTTCAGTACATTTGTATTAAATGCTGTGAACAACAGAAAGGTAGCAGTAGAAAAGATGTAACAAAGAGGACAGTTTAAACAGTAGTGTATTTATATTTCATATTTATTGTTGAAACTGAAGGAGGATAACACAATTACAAGAAACGATATAATCCATATGATTAAGTGTCTAATTTTTTTGCAGACAATCACAAGAATGCTTTCCTGAACAATTCTTTGTAACACCCCCCACCCCCTTTCTGTTGTTTGCAGCTTTTGGTCTTCTTAATAGTTGAACTCATGACGTTTATGCTGGAATAACTTTTTTCAGCCCTTACAGTGCCCCTGGACTCCTAATTTATTTAATTTCCTCAGGTGCTTGCTGTTTTCCAGTGCAGTTGTAAGCAATAATTAAAGTGTTACATAGAAAAGTTAATAAGAAAGTGTTACACAGACCTGGAAAAAGTATAGTGGTTGTACAAATGGGTGACAGTAAAGGAAAAACCAGTTTCCGTTTTTGTGATGTCTTAAAACTGAAAGTGCTCCAAATATTGACCATTATTTAATGATAAAATTAGCATTAAGGCTACTAAAATAGCCAATATTTGTGTCAAATATGTACGTGCTTGGCATGAAACTGCAGCCAGCTTTCTGGGCAAGTGAGAAGCATTGCCTTCCTCTGTTGTCTTCCTTGACAGTCTTCCATCCAAGTACCAGCCCTGCTTAGCATCTGAGATCAACTGTACCACCATGCTGCCTTCTCTGTTTCTGTAAAATAGCACTCAGGTGGGGGTGGGGCTGCTATGGCTCATTGGTACAGCATCTGCTTGGCATGTAGAAGGTCCCAGGTTCGATCCCTGACACTTGCTGTGAAAAGCATCAGGTAGCAAGTGATATGAAAAAACTCTCCCTGAGACCCTGGACAGCTGCTGCCTGTCTGAGTAGACAGTAGTGATTTTGATGGGCCAGTGGTCTGATTCAGTAAACAGCAGTTTTTTTGTGTGCATGCACCCTGGGTCCAGGGCTTTAAAAAATGAGGGCATTGAGTAATATATTACGTCAGTGTGCAGAACTGATGGGTAGTGCTGAGAATAGCAGGAATTCTGCTACTATATGAACCCAATTACTTTCTTCTTCTATCCAGCAGTCATGAACATGAAAAGGGCAAGTATGTTTCCTGGGAAAAACAAGGAGGATTGTTATAATTGAACTTTAAAAATATAACTTGTGCGCACACAAAGGGAACCAATGCTGTGATTGAAAGTTTTTTACTCAGGCTATTCATACGTGGTAAGAATTGCTGCATATGTTGACCTGTTGAGGAAGTTTTAAACTGAAAGAGAGGTAGTAATTTTTCATCCTGCTGATGCACTAAAGTAACTTGCATTGGTTTAGCTTGCATTGGTTTAAATGTGCATGAGCATATAAGAATGTATGCAGTCTAACTTTGGGATTTACTTAAAAAAAAATGTTCCAGATTTCTTCCAAAAACTTGAGGTAGTTAACAAACATCAAAGTCATATAAATATCACCCATTCTAAAGAAGAACGTGTGGAAAATACAATACAGAACATCTTGATGCTTGCTGCCTAAATAATGTGCCAGAAAGAAAAGCATAAGACGTACTAAGGGAAGGCTCAGTGAAAGAGCACTGTCTTGATGGCCTTTGACGGCCTGCTTAGAAGAAATCCTGTGTACTTCCTCTGGGAAGGATTGGGGACATTATGAGTGAGCAGTGAAGTATGTGCAATTCTGATCAAAGACATGTGCTCTTAGAGCACAACTCATGCATAGGCCATGCTAGGCCAGGTGATCCTTCAAGCAGTTCCCAAATCGTGAAAAAATTCAAAGGTAAGAACTGGCACCTTCAATCGAGAAACAAGCAACATACCCAGTGGAATTGCTTCAGAATTGCTATTATATTGGCTCAACTTAGTTAAAAAGTAAGCAGCAGCTGCATTTTGTGCTAGCTGAAGTTTCCAAGTTGTTTTAAAGGGCAGCCCCGTGAGGCATATGCTGTGATAATCCAGTCTGAGGGTTATGGATGCATCAGGCGTCATGGCACAGTCAGCAGTGCCTATAAGAAAAAAATCCTGAATTTGATGCAGAGGGAGGTAAACATACCTGGCCACCACTTCAGCCTCCTGATTTCCAAAGCACTCCTAATCTCTTAATGTGCTTTCTAGATTAAAGTCTTCCTTTTTCTAGAGTAAAGTCTTGCCTTGTCTAGTGTTGACAAATCAATCTCTTCTAGAATTTCTGCTTTTTCCAATAGGATTGGTTCTCTCTTGTTGGATTCAGTGTCAGCACTCACCCTCATCCACTCAACCATCCAAGCACTGGTTCAGAATGCAGACAGTGGCTTGGAGCCAGACTAGCATTTCCCCCAGGAACAAGGACTTGTGTCCATGTGGCATGATTTTACTGCTTTCCCCTACTGCTGTGGGAGGGGGGCCTCTTGTCCCCCAGGATCAGGATTGAGGGAGTGGGATTTTCTGACTGCTGTAGGAGTGGAAGGCAAGAAAAGTGTGCTCTGTAGGTGAAATCATAAAAACTTAGTGCTGGAAGGGACCAAAGTGTCATCTAGTCCAACCCCCGCACAATGCAGGAAATTTACAGCTACCCCCCCCCTCACTCCCTGGTGACCCCTGCTTTATGCCCAGAGGAAGGGGGGAGGGGAACCTCCAAGATCCCTAAGTCAATCTTGTCCGGAGAAGAATTCCTTCCTGACCCAAAAGAGGTGATTGGTATTACCCTGGGCATATTAGAGGGCCATAACAGCTGTTTCTTAAATGCTCAAGGTAATGCAAATTGCCACTTCAGGAGTCAGGAAGGAATTTTCCTCCTGGCCAGGGAGGAAATCCCCACATCCGCAGAAATGCTACTCCAATTCTAAGGCAATGGCCTGTGGCAGCTAAGTAATATATGCATTTACAGGCAGCCGGTGTCAGCAAATTAATGACATGGTTGCTATGGCTGATCCCACTAAGAGGCCTAATAATAACTAATGGAGCACAGCATAAACAAAACCTTGATGCTCTCTACAGTTCAGGCTCTGCTGGCAACTCTTTGCAACTGATTGTACAAAAAAAGGTGAAATAAGGAGCAGTTCCTCTTATCCAGACAAGCTTTTCCAAGCACTCCAGTGAGGTCAAATTATCTACTGTGCCAAAGGATGCAGAAACTTCCAAAAGGATCGATAAAGATACATTTCCCTTATCTAGTTCTAAATGCAGATCATCCATCAAAGTGACTAAAGCTGTCTCCATAGAAAGCCAGGTCTAAAATGTGATTGAAATGGGTCAAGGGCAGAGGTATCATTCAGTTATGGCTGAAGAGGCATTTCTGCCATTGGTTCAGTCACTCTGCCTAAGAAGGGAAGGTTGCAAACAGGCCTGTAATAGTTCATCTTCAGGGGATGGAGCCTTTTTCAACAAGTCCTCAGTGCTGCATCTTTCACTACAGAAAAATTTCCTTCTGCCAAAGAAGTATTAACAATCGCTGTCAGGGGCTCTACTAATTTATCCTGTCACAAAAGGCTGTTTGCAGCACTCAGTCAAATTCATCAGAGGAGTCAGATCACGGTGGACCACACACCATTTTGAAAAGTATCTAGATGATATTCAATAGATACAATTGTATTTTGGGGGGGGTTTACTTCTACCACTACCTTCTACTAGGCTTTCAAGTGAGCCTTGTGTGTGTCAAATTTGTCTGATTGGGTGGAAGTTTTCCATAGACAAAAGATCTAGTTGTCTTCCCCGAAGTCTCTAGTAAACTAGAGAGAAAGGTAGCATCTTAACAGAGGCCAGGGTGGCAGTATTATCTTCATGTTCCCAGGAAAGACAATGGGTTTTACCCAAGGAACTATGAACAGAAGGAAAACAATATGTAATACACAAAAGCTTGCATAACAGTACACTAATATTTAGGTTCTGTAGGCGTTCTCTTGATTCTGCTTGGCACAGTAGGTTACAAAAACCCTTCCACCAAGTGGGTTCTGGTGGGTAGCTATGTTGGATTCAGTTTCATTTCCCCACCCTTCTAGAAAATTTTTATACATCCTTTTTTTCAAGGAACTCAGCACGACATCTATGATGCTTCCTCCGTCCATTTTATCTCAGGCAGAGAGAGTAGTTGGAAAAAGATCCCCCAGTGAGGTTTTATGGTTGAACGGAGATTTTAAAAATCAAGTCCTAGTCAGATGCTGCAGCACACTGGCTCTTGCACAATGCTCCACTGCAAAGTGTCAAACATTCCTTCTGTGAGCAGAGGTGCCTTCGATGAGCACCTTTGGACCCAATCCTATGTGGATTTTATATATCAAAAAGAAAAGCTAAATTGCTCACCAGCAGACGAAATACAGAAAATCTTTTTTGAAAGCGTGTTAGCTGCCCACACTGAAGGGAAAGTAGTTATCAAAGGAAAAGCAATCCAATGAAAAGCATTTGGCAAAAGGCCAGATGAGGGGGAGAAAGATCCGTAACAGCAGACTTTTTATTGTGTTTAATTCCCCCCCCCCAAAAAAAAAACCCACAGAAAAAAGAACAAGGGAAAAAACTTAAAATCCTGCAACTAAATATTTTTAAAAAGAAAAAAGATATGCGTAAAGACAAAAGTATAACAACAGTGGTGATGGATCTACACATAATTTTCTACAAACAGCAGACCTTAATATTCAGAATTCCATTTCATGTTTTGTATTAGTTCCATGGAACCCGAGTCTGGAGTAGTTCAGCCCACATTTTGCTGATGGCTCTGGGCAAGCTGCACTATAGGAATGTGGTAAACCTTAGTTTCTTTCTCTCCCTGTTCTGAATAACCTTATACTTGGTTTACTCAAGACAACCCTGGGCAATATTCCTAAGTGATTGCAACAGCCTACATGGACCACCTGTTTCCACCTGAACTGGTCAAATGGTTAATCTAGTGATAGAAGCTCTGCTGTACATGACCCCCAAAGGAAGGTGGGTGTCCACCAAAGATAGGGGCTTTATAATGTAACTCCTGGGAAGCCTTCCACACAGCCATTCATTAGGCACCAAGCATGTGAAGCTTTTTTGTGTCTGGTAAAGACATCCCTTCTTTCCTGGCTTTCTGCTGAGGTTTTTTCCCTTTGTGATTACCAGACTTCTGCATTGATTTTTTAATGAATGGTTTTTCGTCATTCTTTGCTGTTTGTCACGAAAGTGGGTCCTCAGTATCTAAGTATTTGCATTTTCTGTGGAGTTCTTAATCTGCAAGTATTGTCTGGAATGTTTCCAAGCTACAATGTACCTTACCAATGAGCACCTGCAGATAGTTACCAGTTAGCCTGATAGTGGCCAGCTGTGAGTTGTCAAAATAACTGCTTGACAGCAGACCATCTTGACA